AAACTTCATATTTATGATCAGAATTAGTTATATTAGTGATTTATAACGATTATCTTTACATAAAAATAATTAAAACTTAAATTATTTAATCAATTAACTGTAACAAATAAATAATCGTAATATTACAGTCCATTGCCTAAATAAATTGAGTATCTATTTTTTACAATGATTAATTAAACGACTATAATTTTAATTAATTTTTTTTACAAAAATAATTTTTATAGAATAATTTATAATAGTAATTAGTTTGAATTGAAATTCTTACTATGATTTAGTAGTCAAATATTATTGTTCTACCAATAAAAACGGAAAGAAATCGATCATGGGTTTTAATACATTTTCGATCCGCATGCATGAGTGGGGTCACTAAAGGTCGCTGGTCAGTCAGACTGGCACAATTCATTGAGGAGGAAGAAGAAGAACCAGGAAAGCATTTTTTTTATAGGTCTTTTCAAGAAAAGGAATAAAGAAAAAAGCCATAATGACCAAATTACCCAGATTTTTGTTTTTCCCAATGGAGAAGTTTCAGGTATAATTGAATGGCAATTGATTATGCAGGTCAGGGGGGTACTAGGGCCAACCATGTCCTTTAAGGCAGCAGAGAGCCCAGAAAGTTGAAAAGTAAAAGAAATTCACTTTTGAGAAAGAAGCCAAAAAAGGCTCGGGTTCGCGAGCCAAGTGTGTATCTAGGGCTTAGAGAACTCGGGGGGGCCTGAATCTGTAACTGTTAAAACTGAGCAAATTAACCTGCAACAGGTTCTGAAAAAGAAGAAAAAAAAAGGAGAGAGGACGAGAGGAGAGCAACTAATTCTACGTCAAAGTAACCTGTTATTGTGTGTTTGTTGTTATGTAACTCATTCTTTAATAAGAGATGATATATTGAGTTTTAATAGTATTTATCGAGTCTTTTATTTATTATATGAAAATAAGTTACATGACATATGTACCGTTAACAGCATTTCATATCAATAAAACTTATATACACCATTATTTCATCAACACGAGTGGTCACCTTAACAAATCCAATAAGTTCTCCTACACTATCCTAACCCAGTGGGGTGTGGAGTGGTAGGTGTAGTGGTGGTGGCCTTCTGGGTGCAAGTGCCGAGACGTCCCACAGAGGCAGAGAATAAACTGGCCCCATTGCTGAATGCACAGCTCTCGTCTTCATAAATCCAATGTTTAGTAAATACTTGAAACTAGTGCAAATTTACGAATCCGAATCCTCGTCGGATTCTGTTTGTGAGAATTTCGAAGATTCGTGAATTATATTTGTTCATCATATATCGTGTGATTAAAAATTATTTTTAATATTTTTAATTAAAATTAAATACAAACAGTACCTGATAAAAACTGATCGTACAATGTACAATATGTGAACACAATTTACGAATTCTTAACATCTTCACTAAAAGAATTTGGAGAGGATCCTGTTGGCAAATTTACTACAAGACTTGTCACGTGGAAGTTTCCCTCTTCGTTTTTCCTAACCTAAATAGTGTTCTTCCTCATGAGATGGAATGAAAAGCTTAGAATAATTGATTCATTTTATGGAGGAATTTTCCCCAACTCTTCAAGAAATATCAAAGATAAATGTCTACTAAAACAAGTTAATGGGTAGACATAATGTTGACTGTTGAGGCGGACGAATGCCTAAACTAACATCATTAAGTGAAGGCAATAGGTCGACTCATAACATTTATTTATACATATCTCATGCTCACTCTTTATTGATTAAATACTATTATACTAGTAAAAGAAACACTATATAATTGTAAATTTCTAACATGGTAGTGTTACAATATGAATATATTGTGACATCACACTAAAAATCACATTTTTTTTAGAGAAATGCCTCGCCTCTCAAGAATGCTAAGGAATTTCACTTCAAAATCTTTCGTGGCCGATCCACATAATTTTGTAGTTATGGTCGAAATCGTTTATTTTATAATCACCAATAAAGATAATCTTCGCAAAAAAATCAATTTAAATTAAAGTTGTTTAATCAATCAGCTGTAGCAAATAGATAGATGGGTCGTAATACTTTTATCAATTATGATTATGTGTTTATATACAATTCGACGATGAAGCACTATCATTTATTTATTACAAAGAATTTTTACATAATGGTTTATAATATTAACGATTCATATCATTAACATTAAATTTTTTGAATTGACTACTAAGTGTGTTGAGGAAGAATTCTTCCTCATCGTTAACCAGTCTAGCATTTCTCAAATTTTTATCCAACTTAATCACCTAACCCTAATGATGAAATCCCTTTTGTGATCATCTCCCTGATTCTGTGGTGCCCTTGTTGCCCAGGCTGCCACGCACATACAAAATTACGCATACAAATCCCTCCACAAAGGGTTCCTCAGTTCCCCTTCCAATCCCCTAGCTCTTTTAAAAAGTGGGGAGAGTACTATTTCACAAGTTTTATATGCTATATTCCACATTTATACCTTTCAAGGGGACATCCTCCACCACATATAGTAATTTTTTTCTCTTCCTAGTACTAAAAAACTTTATGTTATATTTTGCCTCTATGAGAAATAAGAAACGACGAAAATGAGTAATGCAAAACCTTAGAGCATCTTCAAAGAAGACGTCAAATCCAAAACATCAAATTTAAATTTGATGACAGATTGTCAATATTTTCCTTCCACCTGATATGCCAAAACTTATTGCTTCATTTATGTTTTTTTTAAACAAAAACAATAAAAGTTGGATTGTTGTTGGTTTAAAATTAATAAAATAATATGTAAATGTGCAAGTATTTAAGGTAAGACAAGTAGAATGTCTTTGGAAATAACAAAAACTATATTTGAAGGCAGCGTCAAGTTTGACACCTCTTTGTCCATGTCAACTTAGCATTCTTTTTCATTCAGCTTGACATCTCAATTGGAATAAATAGTCGTCATTTATTACTGTTATATGTCTATATTGTATTTTTAATATCTCCTTTGACGGTAATCAGAGTGAAAAAAAAGTCCCTTCAGATAATCATATCGATGATCGCAATTAAAAAGCAGAAGAAAAAAAAATGTCAAAAGTGTTGAAGCGCACTTAAACTTGATGTAATTGCTGAATTTTGAAAACTGGTCTTTTTAGTCATTCAATTCGGTAGCTCTTAGTGGGATACTGCAATACAAGAGAGAATGCTTTTATGTTGCTGATGTTTTCATTTAGAAATGTTTTTAAAATGATTAGAATCATTTTGGGTGAAACTATTTTTGAGTTTCATAAGTATTTAAAGTGCTTCATAGAAGAAGCACGAGTTATGTATTTCTTATAGAAAACATTTTAAGTACTATTTTATAATTTACTTGTATTTTTATTAAGTATTAGTTCCAAAAACACTTTTATCAAAAGTGTTTTCATTCAATTTGAAATCTTGCAAACGAGTTTCGACTCTAGAGCTAATTTGGATTATGAACTCGTGATGATTACGACTAGTCGGGGGTTCCAAAAGTATAAATTTTCTCGCAAGTGATGTTGGGATGGTGAAGTGCAGTCGTTTGACCAATTGATACAGTGGTTGACCCACTCACAAGATAAATTGATGCTTAAGCTATCAACTAATCAATCAATGATTCAATAATTTTCTTTTTCTTTTTTTTTGATACAAGAAATATGGGATGGAGAAAATTAAATCTAAGACCTTCACATAAATATCCTTTTAATAATTTGTGCTACAAGTTTGTTGCAAATTTTATTTTCTTATTTACAGCTAAACCTTGTAATTAATAATTCATCCTTCTCAAACTAAACAAAATAATAACTTAACTTGGAACTAGACTTTGAGTTATAGTTTAAGACTAAGTATATTGAGTTATAATTTAAGACTAAGTACTCTAACATATATACTTAAAAGATTCCTCAGAATCGAAGCCTTGGGGGAGGTAAGAAATTGATTTTAGGACTTGAGGAGTGCATGTAATATGATGTTATCTATAATTTGTAAAAAATTGATTTGAAAGAATAAAACTATTCGTACCTTTTCAACTAATTATCTGTATATCATCTCACTAATAGGAATGAGACTATCCACATGAGAGATGCAACTCAATTGGCTACGTTATTTTCAAATTGTGTACTCGTTTATATTAGAGACATTATTTAATGGTCAGATGAGATCGTACCGGTTTTGAGATTTTAGGGGTCATGTGCAAAAGATAATAAATGGGCCATTGCATAAAAACTCCTGCTACAAAGGTAATTGATATGTCTATAGTTGTATTAATAAGGGATCTAAATGAAGTATTATTGCTTGTGAGTTATAGTTGAAATTAACAAATCATGAAAAAAATAAATAAAAACACAATTTATAGCAAAGCCGGCAAAACCAAGCTAAAAACATAAAAGTGATATACCTCTTATGCATATGAAGACCATATTTCTCTTATTCACACGCAAAATCTACCAGATTTCCCAAAGATAGATTTCATCTTTAGGAGTCATTTAGGATTTGGGATCATGTGCAAGGGCACCTATTGCACATGCCCAAAACCACCACCGTCACCAAAAGATAATTGAAGTTTATTTAGGGAAAAGTTGCTAAACAAAGGTTAATTCGTATGTATTGTACCAGAACCGTATAACATCCCAGCATTGAGGATGCATATCGTAGTCGGCAGCGTATAAAGGAACAGCGAATAAAGCACTATCTTCAAACCAACAAAATTATAAACAAAATACAAATCATAATTAAATAGTAAAATAAATTAACCGTCCTACCATACAAACTCACTCATTTTACTTAGTCTAAACTCTTTCATGTGTTCACAAAAAAAAAAGTCTTTCATGTTACAATCTCTAGCCCCTCTTATAAATACACCCCTTTTCCTCACTTTTCTAACCCACCCACCAACTGATGAGCTCTCCCTCTCCATCTCTTATTCAGATGTTGAAGGGCTTTGGCCTTTTCATTTCACTATAGCCTTGCTTATTTAGGTTTCTTGAAATGTGCAGAGGCTTTTTGATGGTAGAATTATTAAAGTAAGGGAGAATCTGTAAAGCTCAGGAGGGATAGCGCCATATGAACAAAGGGTCTATTTACTAGGTGGGCGTTTCTTTGTTCATCATGCGCTATCCATCCTGAGTTTCATGGCTTCTTCATACTAATCTCTCTCTCTCTCTCTCTCACTCTCATGGCTGTTTCTGACATACCTCTGCAGAGTGCGTATATTTTTCCCTTAATTTTGGTGTTTATTAATCATACAACAATCGTTTAAATTTAATTTGTACGGTCCTTCTTCTCAGTTAAATCTAGCTAGGATCTTCAGCTAGCTAGCTGTTCTCAAGCTCTTTTCCATTGAAGGTTTACACTAGCTAGCTTTCATCCTTTGATCTTAAACATTTTTAAGGATATGGGATTTTGGGATTTTACCCATCTGAGAAAGAACTATATATATATATTATTTATATGAATGCATCTTTTTAAAGGGTAAAACCCAGAGATTTGTTTCCTGATTAAGCATATTCATATTTACCATGATTTGTTGTGTCTTTTCTCCATCTTCCCGCTCTCACTTTCTTATTTTGATAATTATTTCACTTTCTTCTGTTATTGCTCCAGAATATTCTGTGAGATATTATTTTCTACAGTCGATGCTCGATTTCAGTAATTACTTCTTGAACTGTCTTAACTTTCAATATTTCTTTGAAATCTGGGGATTAATTTGTCTAACTTGGATGTTCTCGACTTCCATCTAATTTTTGTCCATGATCTATGTTCCTCTAGCAGATTCGATCCAAACCTTAGTCATCTCTAGAATAATGCTAACGTTTTTGAGATATGGAACCAATAACTGGTGAGTTGTGATGACTGCAAGAAGCCTCGACGCCTTGTGAGTTGTGATGAGAACTAGGGTTTCATGGTTTGACTGAGTCTTTTGGCAGGGCAGCTTTTTCAATAGTGGAGAGGTTAGTAGGAATAGTAACGGTCAATGTTAGACTACTTCCCTTTAGCGTCTGGATTTTTTGTTTTTGTGTATTTGAGACACTCGTGTTATTTATTTATATTCTTTAAAAAATATATAAGTGAAATATATTATTTTGTTGTTTATTTATATTTTAAAAAAGAGAAAACTTGATATAACTTCAATTTTTTGAGCCAACAGTAGGAATGGTCCAATTTATTAAAATAAGTCCAATTCTTTAAATTTAATTATTTAATTATCAATAATTATCTCTTAAAAGAAAAAAACTTATTGTAAAAATCAAATTTCTTCCCAATTATCTTAGATTATTTATTTTTATATTTTTTTTTTGTTATTTCTTGTTCTTCCTCCTGCTTTAACCCATTTATAGATTTTTTTTAAATTTTTATAATCAACCTATATCACAGGTTAATTGTTTTTATCTACCTATATAACATATTCTTTTTCATAGTCAACTTGTCACAGATTAATGTGTCTTGTTTGTAGATATATTATGTTTTTTTTCTACCTTTTAGTTAAGCTTCATATCTCACTTATATTATAATATACATTCATATATTTGCTACTTGAGTTAGGGTAGAATGTTTTGCAGATAGATTTATGTTAGTATATTAATTTTTTTTTGTTTATAAGATATTAATTAGATATTTTGGAGTTGAAAAATGCATAATATTAAAAGATTTTTATTATTTTTAGAAAATATAAAAGGAGTATAAAAGAAATAAAAACATATAATTAGATAACTGAAGTCACTCTTAAAAACACTATATTTTTTGACCTGGATCTAAAAGCCCCTTAAAAAAATATTTCACACCACCATGTGACAAGTGTTTCAGATAAACACAAATTTTCTCCAAAGTCACGATCTCGTCCCTTAACCTAATAAAAGAGATAAAATTAGCAATTCGTTGGTGTTGGTGTTGGTGTTGGTGTTGCTATTGCAAACGAGATGATGATGGTGAACTTGACTTCTTTCATACGTAATTCATATTTATTTTATATATATGTTCTCTGTGTATCGCCTGTTCTATGTGCAATATGAATCATCTGGTTGGCCATTAAAAGCCACGTGTACGGCCGGGATGGATTGTATTTCGGGTGCTGAGAAACTTGATATAACTTTAGGTTACAAAGTATGTCCTGCTATTTGGGGACAAAGGAACAAATTTACCAGCAATATTTTGATATCCAATTGTTCTTGCTTAAACAAATGATGACGACGAGAGATCTTCATTTTCGGAGAAGATAATATGTGATCGAGGAATGTGCTTCAACAGGACCCCCACCACCAGCTTTGTGCCACAGCCTGGCCTGTTTACCTTTTCCCCTCTCGCCCCTTCGTAATATATATATAAGATTTAATCAAGTACTTGCAAGATTTAGACGGTTAAGAGTTAAAATATCCAAGATGTACCTTTGGCTTTACATGGTTAATTGGTGAAACCATCAAACTATCTAGGGTTTAGTTTATTCAATTGGCCTAAATATATCTGTATCAAGAAAATATAATCCTTGAAATGTACGAGAATTCGAATTCGAAAGGTAACATATCGAAAAGAAAAACAGTATATACCCTTGAGAGATGAGGAAGAAGAGCATGAGAGGATGACGCACTCCAACCAGAAAAATAAAAATCTCCACAGCAGCAGCATCAACGAGAAGAGCGATAGTACAGTATTTGCTTTTATAACTTTTATCAAGGGTTAGATCTAAAATTAGTTATATAAAATGGAGCCTACTGATAAAAACTTATAATGGCTACTTTATGAGACCAATAAGTCGCCGTTAAAAAAATTGAGTATATATCTCCTTGCTGCTCAGTAATTCCATGATCAACAGCAATTAGCTTCTTGAATGGACAGTGAAGAAATACTTCTTGAGGTTTAAGGGTGCGTTTGGTACGCAGACGGGACGGAACGGAACGGAACGGGACGGGACTGGACGGGACGGGAAGGAACGGGACGGAACGGAACGAAGGTGTAATTTTTGAAAAATACATGGGGTATATTTGTCTTAAAATGGTAAAACAGTGTGTTCCACAGACGTGGAACAAACCCGTTCCAGGGGGGAGGTGGAACGCAAAAACACCCAAAATATGTCCCGTGGAACAGCCCGTTCCACCCATTTTTGACGTACCAAACGCGGGACGGAACGCCTCGTCCCGTTCCGTCCCGTCCCGTCCCACGTACCAAACGCACCCTAAGGTACTGGTCCAATTTTGAGAGCAGAGTACTGGAACATATATTAATAGTAATTCGATTGATGGGCTGAAGTTCCAAGATCATGAGGTTCTGAATATTTTTCTTTAATTTGTACCCTGACAATGCGCCCATACACCTGCCATGTATTAATAATTCCTCTTCGGTTTTTGAATATTCACATGCAGGATTCAGCGTAGTAACATAAAAGATAAAACAGTGCAATGTATGCATTAATTCTCTCAGACAAAGTTAGCTGGGGAAACTTAATAACTTATAGGTTGTGTGTGATTGCAGCCATACAGGTTCTAGCTTTTTATGGGTTGGGCCTTGAATTAGCTTAAAATATGTGGTCCATTGCAAAAGTATGTGGTTGATTGCATTAATGGTCAAGAAATTCGAATTAATTTAACTATACTCGAGTTTGAACTCTTCTTTCATATTAATTTTACTGCATCCAGACTCAAACTCTCTCTGTTCACTCAGTGTATATTTGAATAAATTTAGCAATTGAAATAAATAAATAAATAATTGAAATTAAAAAAGAATTCTATTTTCACGCGTCCCGTAATTTTTTTGTTCTTAAGATCAAATAATATTGGGATTGGCTTCTCTCCTAGCTAATGTTAGCTAAAAAGCTTATAATCTTGTCATTAATGAAGATCCTATGTCCATGACTTAATGTTAGTTTTTTCTTAGAATTAAAAAAAAAAAAAACTAGGTTTCTTTTTAAATTAACTTAATTAGCTCTCACGATTTTTTAATGCTAGAAAAATCATAAAAATGATTTTGTCACTGTAACATTTTTACATCAATTTTTAAATAAAATAGTACAGGTAACATTTGAACGAGTAAAGAAATATAGGGGTGACTTCGACCAAAAAGAAAAAAGAAAAAAAGAAAAAGAAAAAGAGATACCAGAGGGGCGATACAAAATATTTGGGTGATGGGTAAGAAATAGGGAACTTTAACGAAAAGCTCCCGGTACTGTTCACCTTAATGAAAAACCACATTTTTATACTAAAAAGTCAATCCTGGTACTATTAACTTTACCTTTTATTTTGTCTTTATCATTAAAACTCAAAGTTTTCAAACCCTTTTCATTAGTTTTCCTTAAGAAGGGATATCAACAATATCCTCACAAACTATTTGTTTTTGTTGGCAACCTCACAAACTAAGAAAATCTGAAAAATCTCTCTCTCTCTCTCTCTCTCTCTACATTTGCATGGTTAGGGTTTCCAGTTACTTCTATGCATGGTTAGGAAATTCCCACTTTACCATCCCCCAACCCCTTGGGATGGAAGTTCGAACAGATTTCAGGCGTCCGTGAAAGCTCAGGCCGGCAATGTGTCCATAGATCTCAACAATGTCTACCCTTCAACTATAATTTCATGTGGAAAGGCTCGAGAGGCAGGCTCCCTCAGCTTACTTTACGGTGAAAATCCGTTGAAAAGTTCATTCAGACTTCTGTTGTTGGAGTTCGCATTGATTAACGTCCTCACACGTATAATCCGTGTTCTTCTCAAGCCTCTCAAACAACCCAGAATTGTCTCAGACGTCATTTTACGTTCCTCTTCTTCCTAACAGATCTTGCATCGCACACACACACCCACGCATACATACATACATATATATATATATACATACATATATATATATATATATATATATATATATATATATATAATATTATATATGCATATAGAAAACGTTCATGCACGCACTCTCTAAGCATTCGATTTTTGGTTCCAATGCCCAGAGAGTCGTTATATATGTGTGTGTATATATAATATATATGTATATTTATCATTATAAATTTCATATATTCTTGACTAGGTTATACGACATTCATCATTTTGGTATTCCAATTGACTTGATTAACTTTGTTTAGACCATCTTCAACCCTTGGGCTAAAAGCCAAATTTTTTAGCCCGGAAAATTTAACTTTTAGCTCAGAAACATCTTTTCTGCTCCAACCCTTC